ATGTGAAGTGTCTGCTGCCTCAAAAGCCACAACTAAAGAGATTAAGAAGTCTGAATGCAGCGACTGAACCTGATCACATCTGATACATTTTCATTCTTTTCATGCAAACTAACAGTTACTACTTGGCAGAGCTTCATAGAAACAGTAGTTTAATGTGTAGTGAAAGATGCTGATTTCATTAACAACAACTGGATCATTTCCTGCTTATGGAGTCATTTGACTTTTATGTTTATGAACAAAGCTGTTTGATGAACTTTAATAAAATGCATAACTTAAAAAACTTTGTTGTCCATTTTTCATGGTGATGGAGAACCAGTATAATGTTCTAGACATTAAATCAGAGAGACTTCAGCACAGAACCAGCATAATGAAACAAATGTAGTTGTAAAGAATAACAGTGAGAACGACTAAAAGAGTGAAACAGGTTTATACAGCATTATAAAATGATCAGATTCTATTCTGGCTGTATAGTGAACAGAGCTTTGGAGACTCAGTTATAAGGAGATGGTGTGATATCTATGGTTACTGATGATGCCACTGAAAATGTAAAAGGATGATCTAAAGCAGATCAGAGTCAGTGATCACTGTCCAGACAAGTGCAGTAAAGAGAGGGAATTCTAATGGAATTCTCCTGTGAGAGATTCAGATCTTGAGGCTTAAACTAAACTGAACAAGAGCAAAAAGACTGAAGTTCAGATCAAACCACTGTGGAGCTTTTACTGAGGTTTTACTGGCACTGACACAACAGATACACACACTAAAATATGAGAGAAAGTGAAGGAGCTCATAGAGATGTGTGTGAGTGAGGAGATTTCTCAAAGGAAGCGGTTCAAATGGAAATCTGCAGACAGCAGGAAGAGATAAAGGTGGAAAATGGCTCCTACAGAATGATGAACAGATGATGAGGTTGATTAGTGGAAGACGTTTCAGACTAAATTACAGTGAGATATTGTGTGTTTATCATCAGTGTTGATGCCACTGAAAATGTATGTGGTTGATTTAAAATATATCAGAGTTTCTGATCGATGTGCAGTTAGTTGTAACTAAAGGAGTGAATGAATAAGGCCTCGTATGGAGAGCGGAGTAAAGTGGATGTGGAGCGGGATTTGGGAATGTTGTGCCACCTGTCAGCAGAAGCATGAACTGCAGTCTACTATTCAGCAGGAGAGAGGATCACTCAGTAGCGCGAGAAGACCAGAGTTTGATGAGTTTCAGTGAAATTTTGGTGGATTTGTACTTTTCTGAGTATTTTTAATTGAAAACACTTTTAATTACACTGAAGTATTCATTTGTAAAACAGTTCACTTGCTTCTAAGCTCAATTTTAGTCACGCGTAGTTGCTTTTTTTAGTGTTTAATTTCATTCTGTTCTGATGGTCAGAGTTTCTGCTCTGCTGTGATGTTAGTCACATATTTTCTTATTGAATTAAATAATATTTCTACAGCAGTTTGATTTGCTTAATCCTGTTACACAGTGTTTAAATGATGATGCTGTTTTAATTAATCAGATTTTTATATCTAAATTTTCTTCTCCTGCTTTCTCTCACAGTCAGACTCTGTAGAGTGTTTGTGTTAAAGTGAGTGTGAGAGGAGAGACTGTAGGTGGCAGTGAAGGATCAGAGAGAGCTGCACTGACGTGGAGATTTCCCCAAGAGACGATTCAGTCCACTAATCAGTGTGAACCTCCTCTCTCACTCAGGATACACCTGCTGCACCACTCTGTCATTTTAGCTCTGTGTAAATGAGAAAGTTTCTCTGAGTCACTTCAGAATAACAGAGAAACAAATGCAGTATGTCAATGTATTAAAATAGCATCTCCATATAAATAAATGAATAATGCTAAAACATTTAAAATAATTCTATGCGAAGAAAATGAGTTATAATTATTTTGCTGTGAATTAAACAAAGAATGTACAAACTAAATACAGAAACTTAAAGTATTACATAAAGGTGTCAAGATTATCAGTGTGCTGATGGTTTGCTAAAAGACTTGAAAATGTTTAACAGATATTTGTAGATGATATCTCAATGTATTTTCTAGGTTATTAATCTGATGTAGGTGGTCTCATATGATGAGTGTTGTTAAGTGACCCCTCCCTCTGCCCCCTCCTGTCTCTCTTATAGCACATCCCTGCACTCTCTCCTTTATCTGCTCCTCAAGCTGCTCATCTCTTCACTCAGCACAGAGAGTCATCACACGCTGACAAGATGCTGCCAGCACTCTGCTCTCTCTTCACTGCTCTCTCATGTAAGATCTCACAACACTGGAGCTCCTCAGCATTCGCCTACATCTAATGTGAGCATCAACAAATGTAACATGGATGCTGCTTTTATTGCAGGTGTCAGTGGTGTAACTGTGGTGACACAGAAGCCTCCTGTTCTCACAGCGACTAAAGGAGAGAAGACCACTATGCACTGTAATCTGGGGACTGTTACTAATCAAGCTGCTCGTTGGTATAAACAGGTTCCAGGAGGAGCTCCACAGTATATGTTAATGAATCACCTTAGTTATAGCTCTCCTAACTATGGATCTGGCTTCTCCTCTCCTAAATTCACATCAACATGTTCATCTAATTCAGACTGTAATTTGATCATCAGTAATGTGGAGGTTGGAGACTCAGCAGTGTATTACTGTAAGATATGGGACAGCTCTGTTAGTGAGTACGTATCACAGTGATTCACACCATGACAAAAACCTCCTCACTGCTCACATTCACTTCTGCTTTCAGACAACAGTAGAAACACAAATCATCAACAACAGTCTAAACTATTTAAGTGAGAATTGAGTTGCATTTAATGTAATTCATGTTTTACTATTTCGCTCTCATAAATTTTATAGTGGACCAATAACCAGAGCACTTAAGAAATAACAACAGGCAATGCAGAAAAAACGCTGCTGCTTATCACATGAAATCCAGCTACTTTATGCTGTTAATTTTCTGAGTATAATGCTGATCATGAAAGATCAGTTTCAGGCTGCATTCAGTGTCATTTGACTGGTCAGTTATTGCACTGAAAGGTAAATTAAGTGATATGATCTCCAAACACTACCATCACAGTTTCATTAAGACTTAAATTTTTACATCATGTAGATCAGTATCAGTGTCAAATTTGGTTCTAGAAAATGCAAAATGGCTTATAAATCATTATGTGTCCACCATCAACTTTAACCCTTGTTGTTTTAAACATAGTTTTCTATTTATGGTTTTGATGTTTTCAAATTAGGTGCTCCACTGTAATTGTTTATAAATCAATCTTATCATTTCACTGTCTTATATCTGCCTTTAGAGACACTCTACATAAATCACATAAAATTCCTGGAGTAATAATGTGTTATGTGTTCAATAATGTGTTCAGATGTTTGTTCAGGACAATATTAATAAGCATGCTGTTCTGTAACATGTTCAGTGGACTGAAGACTGGATTTCGTATGACATTATATGATAAAAACAATTTGTGAGTAGCCAGTAGAAGAGTTAGAGGGAATTCCTCAGTTTAAAAAAATCTGCAGACGTCAGTCCTTGAGATGTAGATCTTATTGTTTAGATTGATTTGCAGTGAAATTCTTTAATATAAAGAAACATACTGACATTAAGATTTCTTTATTATAGTGCTGTGGGGTCATGATGTGTATAACTCAGTTAAAGCCGTTTTATATAGTATCCCAAATGGACAGTGAACCTACATGTGTCAACTCAATTTTCATATATCTAACTAACTGGAAAATATATTTTTTCTTTGAGTACGATTTTGCCTTACAACACCCTGTATGAATACATTTTAGCTTAGCTTGCAGAGGCATAAAACTCTTCAGATGGCTGCTTCCTATAACCAGCACTGTGAACAACTCTTAGAAAGTTTCACTTGAAAAAACATTTCCCATTAAACCACTGTACGTGACTTTGTTTACGCCTTAATGATCAAATCATATAGAAAATGTAAATAATCTCTGGAATTCTCCTTTAATGTCGGTTTAATACATGGACAATGTGCATCAAATCATCATCACATTTTATTATTCTATTACACCTACTCTTGTTGTACAGACGATACAAAAAAATATTTTCCTCCAGAGATATTAGGAAGTATCCTCAGACATGATGTTCATGAGTATAATCATGAGTTGTTCAGCAATCATTTTCTCCCAAGTACAATAATTTCTATCTATCTGTTCATCATGAAATGTTAACACAATGCAAAGGATAAAAAGAGTTCACAAATTATGTAAAAAAAAAGTTAATAATAACTTTTACCCACTTTTTTTAAAAGTTTTTTACCCACCTCACCACAACATCTATGTGTACCTTCTAAGTTTCAAGACCATACCAACTACAAAATGAGAAGCTCAGCTGAATGACAGCAAAACTTTGGCTAAAATTCAGAACACTGTTCAAGTTAAATCATGTTCTTAAAGTTCTGTTGTCAAAAGTGCAGCACTGGATCCAGAATCAGTAGCACTGAGGTGGATATTCAGTAGATGCAGCTGTACTACATACAACTGTATGACTCTGTCAGTCTTCATAGTTCAGCACTGACACTGATACATCATACCTTACGAGAGACACACTCAGGAAACACCTGCTGACCAACACTCTGTAATTTTAGCTCTATGCAAATAAAGACAGTTCTTCTTAGATTAAAACAAAAACAAACTGTAGCTTATTAAATTAAACAACCGTTTTTAAATTATGTAAATAAAAGAAATTCTAATGAATTTGACATAAATTTCTGCAAAGAAAAAATAGATAATGAATATTTACATATGAAAAAATATTTATCAGTGAATTTGTACATTTTCTAAAGTTCTAAAGTGTTTATGAACTTGAATGATATCTTGAAGAATGATAATTCTTCAGTAAAATCTTTGTTAGGCTTATATAAGCTAATAGCATACAAGCACATGAGACTGTGTAGATGGTCCCATATGATGTGTGTAGTTGAGTGACCCCTCCCTCTGCCCCCTGCTGTCTCTCTTATAGCTCATCCCTGCACCCTCTCCTTTATCTGCTCCTCAAGCTGCTCATCTCTTCACTCAGCACAGAGAGTCATCACACACTGACAAGATGCTGCCAGCACTCTGCTCTCTCTTCACTGCTCTCTCATGTAAGATCTCACAACACTGGAGCTCCTCAGCATTCGCCTACATCTAATGTGAGCCTCAACAAATGTAACATGGATGCTGCTTTTATTGCAGGTGTCAGTGCTGTGACTGTGGTGACACAGAAGCCTCCTGTTCTCACGCCGACTAAAGGAGAGAAGACCACTATGCACTGTAATCTGGGGACTGTTACTAATCAAGCTGCTCGTTGGTATAAACAGGTTCCAGGAGAAGCTCCACAGTATGTGTTAATGAATCACCATAGCTATAGCTCTCCTTACTATGGATCTGGCTTCTCCTCTCCTAAATTCACATCAACACACTCATCTCAATCAGATTACACTTTGATCATCAGTAATGTGGAGGTAGGAGACTCTGCAGTGTATTACTGTGGGATGTGGGACAGCTCTGCTAGTGAGTGGGTATCACAGTGATTCACACCATGACAAAAACCTCCTCACTGCTCACATTCACTTCTGCTTTCTGGCAGCAGTAGAAACACAGAAACATCAACAACAACCTGCACTACTGAAGAGAATATGTTACATTTAATGTAGTTTGTGTTTCATAATTTCACCCTCATAACTTTTGCTGCCATGGGTCAATAAGTAGAACACTTAATCAAACAGTAGATTTTTATTTCTAATTTTTTAATTTCTTATTTCTTCCCCCTAGAAATCCAGTTACTTTGTGCTGTTAATATTCTAATATAATGATGATTATGGAAGATCAGTTTCAGGCTACATTCATTACCATAGAACTGATGAGTTATTAAACTGAAAGATAAACAGAGTGAGCTGTTCTCTAAACTCTGCCTTGACAATTTCATTAAAAGCATTTTAGATTGTGTAGATCAGTATCAATATTTCATTTTGTTGCTAGAGCATGACAAATAGCTTAGTGTATTTTGTGTACTTTACTTTTACTTTTGTTTCTTTTTTTCATTTCTTTTTCATTTCCTATAAGATCAGATCCTGTAACACCAAATATGATTTTCATTGAGCTTGTTGTTCACTAACCAGTTCAGTGGACTGAAGACTGGCTTTCATATGAGCTCATATGATAACATTAATTTGTGGGTAAACACTAAATGACTTAAACAGGAATTCCACCATTGTTAAAAATGTCTCCATAATTCAGTCATTGAGATGTAAACAAAGTCATTTTGAGTGATTTGCTGTGAAATAGTTTATTGTAAAGAAATGTATTGACGTGTTTTACACACAATGTTGATGATGATTTACCATGAAAAATCAGCGTACTACTTTGTTTTCTGTAGGTCTGTTTCTATGGAGAGAGATTACTGTCTTTAATGTGAAAGCGCAAAGACAGGGTTAAATCGAGTAAGTCAGAAAAACGAGCGCACAGAATTGAGAAAACCGAACGCAAACAGCGACACCGAGAGCAGAGAAACAAGAACTGCGCGGAAGTTTAGTGTGCCCGACTATCGCAGCCCTGCACTAGCTTCTCTGATTTCACCTCACGTTTCACTTTTTGCTTGCTTCTGAAATTTCTGCTCGCTTTATAATTACAGCAGGAAACATGTCAGCAGTGCATCAAACTACAGTCTGAATTGGATGAACATGTTGATATACATATATACATATATACACACACATATATATACGTATGTATACATATATATATATGTGTGTGTATATATGTATATATGTATATCAACATGTTCATCCAATTCAGACTGTAGTTTGATCATCAATAATGTGGAGGTAGGAGACTCTGCAGTGTATTACTGTCAGACTTATGACAGCTCTGTTAGTGAGTTCGTATTACTAGTGAGTGGGTATCACAGTGATTCACACCATGACAAAAACCTCCTCACTGCTCACATTCACTTCTGCTTTCAGACAACAGAAACACAGAAACTTCAACAACAACCTGCACTACTGAAGAAAATAAGTTGCATTTAATGTCATTTATGTTTCATAATTTCACCCTCATAACTTTTGCCAAAGTGGGCCCATAACTACAGCACTTAGTCAAACAGATTTTTTTGTTGTTTCAATTTCTTATTTTTTCTCACTAGAAATCCTAAATGCTGTTAATTTTCTCAGTATAATGATTATGGAAGATCAGTTTCAGGCTGCCTGCAGTGTCATTTGACTGATCAGTTATTAAACTGAAAGATAAACAGAGTGAGCTGTTCTCTAAACTCTGCCTTCACAATTTCATTAAAGTTATTTTAGATCATGTAGATCAGTATCAATGTCACATTTTGGTGCTAGAGAATGACAAATAGCTTACAAATCATTATGAACTCACCAACATTAATAACCCTTGTAATGTGTTAAACACAGTTTTCTATTTTTGGTATTCATGTCTTCAAATTCTTCATCCCATTATAATTCATACAATTACAAAACACAGATTATCTGATGCTGATTAAAGAAGTAATACAATGTTACATCTTTTAACCAGATTTACTCCTAGACACTATCAACAGTTCTGCTGTGTAAACGTTTTATTTTTTCAACTGTTGTTTTGGTTCCGGCTTATAGTCACTAGATTGTAAAAAAGTTCACAGAACGCCGACTGAAAAAAGATATTTCATAGTTGTATAAGAACTGTTCCCTGATGGTGTCCTACCATTTTTTTTTTTGTAGGTCTGTTTCTCTTGTAAAACAATGTGAACACTCAACTGCCTCCACAGGTCACACTAAAACTGTGATCACTTGTTCTGCATGTCAGTTTATCGGCCCCTTCTGTCAAACGTTATGTCACAAATCCCTCTAGGCTGTCTGTGGTTAGTTGGAAGTCTGTTTTATGATGATGAATGGAGAATAAATGATTTATAAGAGAAGGGAAAGTATTTTTGGTATGTTTTCTCTTTGTTTGTGCAACATATACATGAGCCTGATCATTCAGAAACATCAAGAATTGTCCTCAGAGATGTTGTTCATGAGTAAATTCATGAGCCTTTTTTAGCCATCATCCTCAGTCAAGTATGACTATTTTTCTTAACCCTTAAATAAACCACTGTTATGTTTAGTAGGAAGGTTTTGTTTATATTCTTTTATTTAAGAGGATGATTACACTCTGTGATTTTAAAATTGTATGACTGTGCAAAATGTTCATGAAAGGGTAGAAATGTGTTTGATACACACCAAATACAGCTAGTGTACATATTTGTACAGCTTGATCTTATTTTAATTGAATCATTAAATTGGATATTGATACTGTCAGAACAACATCTCATATCTCTAATTGCTACTTTTACAGGAGAAGGAAAAATATTCTTAACTTTTAATGTCAGTCGAAGCGGTTAATTTTATTCAAAGTAAATGTCATCAATTTCTATCAGTCTGTTCATCATGAAATGTTAACACAATGCAAAGCATAACTGGAGTTATACTGTACAACTCTGTTTTTCCCCCTCAAAACAAATTCTACTGTATATGTCCCTCCTAAGTTTCAAGGCCATACCAAGCACAAAAAGCGTGCAGCTCAGCTGAATGACAGAGCAGAACTTTGTCCGAAATTCTAAACATCCTTAAGATAAATCATGTTTTAAAGTCTTGTTTTCAAGACTGCAGCACCAGAATCAGTAGCACTGAGGTGGATATTCAGTAGATGCCGCTTTACTACATACAACTGTATGACTCTGTCAGTCTTCATAGTTCAGCACTGACACTGATACTTCATATATTATGAGAGACACACTCAGGAAACACCTGCTGACCAACGCTGTAATTTTAGCTCTATGCAAATGAAGATGATGCTGTTTCTTCTTAAAGTGGAACAAAAACACATATTGTAGGTGATTAAATTAAACAATACAGTTTTTCATTTATATGAATACATTTTTAATTAATTTGAAATAAGTTTCTGAAAAGAAAATATTTAGATAATGAATATTTATAAATGAAAAATATTTATCTGTATGAATTTGTACCTACTCTAATGTTCTAAAATGTATATGAACTTAGAATGATTCAGTAAATTCTTTGTTAGCATTCTATAAGCACATGAGGCTGTGTAGATGGTTTCATTTCATAAGTGTTGTTGAGTGACCCCTCCCTCTGCTCCTCCTGTCTCTCTTATAGCTCATCCCTGCACTCTCTCCTTTATCTGCTCCTCAAGTTGCTCATCTCTTCACTCAGCACAGAGAGTCATCACACACTGACAAGATGCTGCCAGCACTCTGCTCTCTCTTCACTGCTCTCTCATGTAAGATCTCACAACACTGGAGCTCCTCAGCATTCGCCTACATCTAATGTGAGCATCAACAAATGTAACATGGATGCTGCTTTTATTGCAGGTGTCAGTGGTGTGACTGTGGTGACACAGAAGCCTCCTGTTCTCACAGCGACTAAAGGAGAGAAGATTACTATGCACTGTAATCTGGGGACTGTTACTGATAGCTCTGCTCGTTGGTATAAACAGGTTCCAGGAGGAGTTCCACAGCATGTAATAAGAAATTATCATACCTGGAGTTCTCCTAACTATGGATCTGGCTTCTCCTCTCCTAAATTCACATCAACACACTCATCTCAATCAGATTACACTTTGATCATCAATAATATGGAGGTAGGAGACTCTGCAGTGTATTACTGTCACACATGGGACGATTCTGCGAAGGAGCATGTACCACTGTGATTCCCACCATGACAAAAACCTCCTCACTGCTCACATTCACTTCTGCTTTCACACAACACAAGAATAACAAAAACCCCATGGTCACAGAAGCCTTTTCTAACAGTGAATAATGGAGAAAGCATCAGTGTACACTTTAATCTAAATCAGATTATACATTTATCATTAATAATGTGACAGTAGGAGACTTTGCTGTGTAAGCTTTTCATCCTTGCTTTTACATGTAATTTATAAAGGTTTAAATCAGGAACCTCCTGCTGTTTGTGTTGCACACACAGCTGTTTGATTACACAACAAATAATAAATTAGAAGTGGATACTGAAAGTGTTTGTCTATAGGATAGTGTAGAATCTCTACCACATCAAATGCTTTATAACACGCAGAAGGTTCCATACAGTGTGAGGAGATACAACATCCTGCACACCAGCACAAAAGAACAGCTGCTGAAACATACACACCAACTGCACTGAAGAAAATAATAGAATAACCTTATCAGATGAAGATCATATTTAGATTAGATAATATTTTAACAAATATTGCTCATCTTCATTTCATCATGTTTTTTTAGGACCTAATATCATCATCATTCATCATTCATCAAATCATTAATTACACTCCTGTATTTTCTGTACAACTAATTAGAAAGAGTTTTGTCATTTTTAAGACTAAAATGTAAATCTACTTCTGTTCTTGATATATGAGGTTTATTCCTCTCGTCATATTTCTAGTTATTAGTTCACTGGAATGGTACCTTCAATGGTAACTACTAAATACAGTTAGTTAGGAAACATAAATGTACCATATTATGTTGAAGTAATA